ACAAATATTGACGATGATGATCCCAAACATCTGCTAGGTATCAGTGATAATTCATTAAGCGCCTCTGAGGTGGAGGAGGCTAAAAAATTTCTGCAAGTCGCACCACCAACACTACCAGAGACAACCGTATTTCGCGCGCCTTTCTTCGCAGCGTGGTTCTTCACGAATTTTTCATTTCTATTTTTCCCCATTTATGTGCTGGGGCGCGTATCATTGCGCAAGTGCGACAAGCCAGGCGAAATTTTGGGTGATGTTTTGCGAGGTTTCCGCGATCGTGGCTTCACAATCGGTAAGTTGACTACTTCAATTACATTTGTCCTTTTATGCATATTAGGGTGGTCCAAAAAAAAAGTCAAGTCAGTCCAAAAAAAACTGCTTTTCGAAGAAATGGTATAGAATTCTTGAAAATCAATATTTTTCGACCCTAAAACTTTAGTTCTCTTCGGGAGACTCTCAAATGTTTATTTTACAATTTTTTAATATTAGCGATTTTTTATTGCATTTTCAGGGGTTTTTTGGTGCACCTATAAAATATAGGGGTTGCTCACACTTGCCTCGTAATCAGGTTATGCGGTTATATTTTCTTCAGTTTACAACAATAAAATACACTACAAAATAATATTTAATTACTATGAAAAAAGGTTAAATAAATACTATTTCTACGAAAAGTTTTTTCCCACATATAAAATACATGGAAAATTTTCAACGTTTTGGGCGATCTCTAAATATTTTTGGATTTCAAAATTAAAAATATGGGTAATCTATTTTTCGGTATAGAAGAGTCCTGGGGCGTAAGAGCATTAAAATTCTGACTTTACTTTTTCACTTGCTATTTTGGACCACCCTAACGTACTCATACATAAATTTATGCTTTTAAAATTCCGTCAAATCTCTAAGCCACTCCTTATTTTTGTAATGAAGTCACAACTTCTCATTCGCCATCAGGTCGTTTTCTAAATCGCTGCCTCTCCTTCTGCATCCTCTGGCTGGTGACCACCTACCTATATACCATGTCTCTGCGCGTACTTTTCGCCACCGATGCCATGGCGCTATTCGCAACCAATGTCGCTTGTGTCTATCTGCTTTCATGGGTCATTCTTCATGAACAATTTGTCGGTGTACGGGTATGTGTATTCGTAGCAAAGCGGGGCATCGCATTAAATTGTTACAAAAATAAATTCAATTAAGTGCTTTTTAATCCTATCTAGATTGTTGCGGTCATTTTATGCGACACCGGCATTGCGCTGCTTGCATACATGGATGGCATTACGGAAAGTCGCACGCTGAGCGGTGTTGTGCTGGCAACGCTGGGCGCTGCCGGTTACGCAGTCTTTAGGGTGAGTGTTACTGTAACTATTTCCGTTTGAGCGTGTAAGTTTAGTTAATGCAGCGAAAATGTTTAACTTGCGCATTTTTGCTTTTGTTTTGTTTTTTGTTTGTTTTTTTTTTTTTAGGTTATGTTCCGCAAAGTGATGGGCGATCCACCGATTGGCCAGATTGCATTTGCCTTTACTACGCTTGGATTTCTCAATGCGTTACTGCTGTGGCCCGTTTGCGTGGGACTCTACTTGGCTGGCTATGAGAGTATGCCGTCAGATCGTATGCCATGGATTATTTTACTAATTGCCAGTATATTGTTATTGGGTAATTAAATTAAAATGTTGAAAACATGACATTTAATCATTAAAATTAGGTATTTGTATTCCAGTTTTTCACATATTAATGCAATTCAGCGCAGCGGTCACTTATAATATGTTTGTAACGCTCGGTTTGATAACAGCAGTACCAGTTTCAGGAGGTAAGTTGCGTTGGGGGTATCTATTAGGAACGTAATTGTATTTGTTTTTT